TGACACAAAACGTGCCTTAACTGAAGCGAAAGGCTCTTAAAAGAAATGTTGCTCTGTTAAGGAATAAGAGATTTTGCGGCCTCAAATATATTATATTGCAAACATATATACAGCTAAGTTTCCGTTTTCAAGGAACGGCCTTTAATTTCAGTTTTGACTTCAGACTGAAAGAAATACCTTTTAAACGTTATACAGTATACTGTAATTCCTACCAATGTCCGACAAAAGTGTAATTGGGTAACAATTTTACTTTTAACGTTATACTTTACCTAACTTCCTGAGACTGCAAAAGGCAAAATTAAGGAACCGAGGAAAATACTTTGTCAATCGGGTTACACGCAAAACAGCCAGTCCTCAAATTAATTCAACATTTTCTGGAAAGACTCCACCTCTTCTTTGATTGACATGTTTCGAGCAAATACCCAGCAAGAGCGTCGTGCTGTAACCAATATCAAGCGTGAAGCTGACAAAAAAAAAGGCACGGCGTCTCTGCGATCTGTTTGTGAAATACACGGTTGCCAGGAGAAGCTTGCAGTTGCTACGCAGTGACGTCACAGCCAACCGCCACCTGCGCATGTGATTGGCTGATCCGAGTTTCCGGCGACAGTGTAAAAAAAAAACCGGGGGGTGGTTTTGTAACGTTTTGCAGTGTAAACACTGGGATCATACGTTTGTGACGAGAAGTTGGGGGGTCTTGTTGACAAGCAGATTAAAGATAATAGTTTGTATAGTATCAGTACTGCTAAATAAGTAACAATAGACGAGGGGGTTAAACGGTGACAGCATGGGAGATGTCGGCTTAGATTATAACATTGTTTTCCCCGAGCCGCACGTTTCAGGTGAGTAGGAGTCGGTCAATAACATTGAAACGCAGAAGTGATGTATTTAGTAGTCCTTCCTCCCGTCTGTAGCTAACAAGGATTGTTGCTGACACCGTTTTCCCGAATGAAGTGTACCGTGACGATATCATTGACGTTGTGTCGAACAGCCGTTGGTCAGTGGCTGCAGAAAGGGTTTGATCGGGACATGTACACATAGCAGGCCTCTACAAAACCAGAGCGCCGCCCTGAGCGAAGAGCGAGTAAATTATACAACAAATAACGCTGTAACATTGAATCGCAGATGGACCACCGACCCTCCTCTCAATATCCAGAATATTCAAATAGAAATGAATTTTGTAGTCTTATTTCCAGGTTAATAGAAACAGAGTTGTTTTGGGTATTTCAGACTACCTTAACCTAACAAAGTTTAGTTTTTAAAATAAACTACATAAAAGAAGTAAATGGAACAAATCAGAAAAGCCAATCGCTTTCCGTAAACTGTCGTCAGAAGTCAGTCTGCTTTTAGTTTGTTTTATATTTTATGTGCTTTAACTGCTTTCTTCCTCTAGAAAAACACTGGTATGGGCAGAAGGAGCCAGTCGTGATCTTGCTGGGCTGGGCAGGTTGCAATGATAAACACCTAGCAAAATACAGCTCCATTTATAATGAACAGGTCAGTGCTGGAAAAGAAAGACGACAATAATATGAGAGGAGTTTATTGCCAAAAATACTGT